GAGAGAGGGCAGGATTTCGATTACCTCATACATTTCGCCGCACGATCCTAACATGACCTAGTAGAAGCGAACGGCAGGTGGTCATAGGTTACGTACATCGCTTCCGGTATTAACGACAGGTACTACCCTATCACCATCCACGAACGGTCAGCCCCCGCAACTGGTCGGTGGTCGAGTTTTCGACCTTAGCAAGTCAAATTTATGTAGATATCCGCTCGTCGAAGGCGAGCGAGGTTACGTGAAATTTCCAAAGTGCCATTTCGCTCATTCGATCGCAAGCGGCTCCCTAAGCCTGGTCGAGCCTGCTCCGGACGAGCCCTGTTACTCCCGAGGAATGACATAAGTGCTCGGGAAATTTGCGGATTCCCTCCAGGCGGGAGTTGCCGGGGAGAATCGCGTCGATTGTTAGATCCTTCGAATGCCGATCCCTCTTGATTAATGCAATCATTTTGCCTGCGTCGATCCGATGCTCTCAGTCAATTGCATTATGTATGTACTACTCAGTTTACGAGGAATCCTATTTAAAATGTTAAATTCTTTGTAGGTTTACTATTTATTACATTATTAAATTTTTATATTATTAAATTTTTACATTATTAAATTTTTTAATCATTTCGAAAGATAATGCAAATATAGTTTCATATCGCAAGAGTTTAATCTGCATTATAATTATTCTATTTCGAGATAAAATATATTGTAATTTCTTGTAGATTATTACTTATATACATATGTTGCAGTCGTCTAAAAATTGTACATAATACAAAGCATCATTTAGAGTCAAATACGTGATGACATTGATCAATGCATTTTGTGGAGGAGTTTGCAATATTGATTTATACATAATTTTAGACGGTACATTATTCCATATTATAGATAGTCTCGTAACAAGACCGAAACGAATTTTTTCGTCGCAACCCTGTTGTTTGCATATTATTTAGCGGCCTACATTCATAACTTTTTTCTTGCCGAATTAATAAAGTCACAGATAAGATCGTCTCTTTAAAATCTCTCTCGCGCATTCAAATGAGACGATTAAAAAAAAGCGAGAATGATATGAGATATATCTCGATATTTTTATTTTGAGAGTTAAAATCTGCTTAATATATTTATATATTTATGTATTCATTATAACACTGTATTGCGGTCAACACTTAATATGCTAATATTAGTTACGATACTCTCTATAACAAAAATTGGCAGCTCGATAAAAATAGTGATCTACTTTATATGATTGCAACATTTTTTTTCAAGATCTCGTCATCTCTATATTTAAGAAAATATTGCAATATTTTTTAATATATATTATAATATTTTTCAATATATATTTTTTATATTAATGATTTTTTATCGCAATATATATATATATATACACACTATCTTTTCGTTTTATCTTGTTATTGCAATTGGTACAATTTTGGATCAACGATTATTATACATGACATTTGATCGAAACGTGTACATCACATCTATTTATTTAAGAATGCGAGAGGGATAACATTCAATCGAAATTGAAATTGCCTGTCGGTTTCAGCTTGATGTCATTAATATCCGCTGGTATAATTTGCAAAACAATCGCTGGATGCGCGATGCTTTCCGTCGGTTGAATCCAGTGAATGCGATACGCTGATTCTGGGACGCGGCAAACAAAAATTCGCCCATCGTGCCGCAATTGTTTGCCAGAGCAAGGTAGCTCACGCACGGACACGCTTGTTTATTATCGACCGGGATTGATTCTCAAACGTCGGCTCGCGTTTCGCTCGTTTGTTTATTCGTTAAAGTGCAACTCCCGCATAGTTTTTGCATCCGCTGCATCTCGCAGCATTGCGCATAACGATATCCAACGCATCATCCGATAGGAATCCAATTTTTTTTTTTGAAAAAAAATTTATGAAAAACACTCAAATCTATTTTGCTCAACAATATTTCTAAATCGGAACCGAAAATTTTGCAGTTTATCTCGTTGTATCGGAACAATGCTCGTATGCATACATATGTATGCACACAGACGCTTAATTATTATGTAAAACATGTATGGTTTAATGTGCGACGTGCATTTAAAAATAATTGCTACGATGGGATTGCATATTATTTAATAGCATTAAAAAAAGCTTAGATAATTAAAAAATTATCTTAATGGTTTTGTGAAATATATATAATAATTATTCAAATAATTTATTATTTTTAGAAAAAATGAGATGAACAGATTTTATTACGTGAACTTTCGTATTCTTTGGCAACCCTCTCTTTTTATCGACAGTTTTCTTTACTAACAATGTTCATTTAACTCTATGCTACTTGTGCCGTGAGATGTACGATAGCGGCAAATCCTCGTTGCTGGAAACAAGATCGTAAAATGCAAATTGCTCGACAATGCGCTGCACTAGTCGGTGTGATTGGCCCTGGATAAAGCCCGTAATTCACAATCCTCGTGAGAGTCGATACGCTGTTCAAGATCCGTTTCCTGTGAATTCGAGGCACGTCAATCTCTTATTTATCAATCACAGTTGCGAAAAACGCTTCCTGACGTTTGAAAAATTCCGTAACGCGCGAAATTCTGTTTTCAGTCATTTAAATAATAATAGAAAAATTGAAATAATAAATAGAGATAAATTATATAATTGAGATTATACGACAGAGATAAATTAAATGATAAAAACGATTCGCGTAAATAATATATACATGACTTAGTTAATATATCAACGAGAATTGAACGAGTAACAGAATTACAGAATTTTTGCTGCTCTGATTTATTTCGCAGACTGATTTGCTTATCTTAATTTAATTATTAAAATTATATACAAAGAGAAAGAAAGATATTTTAAGCAGCCTCGGGAAACATTTGTGCTGAATCGATATCCATTTTCGTGCTGTTTCAAGTGTAGAAATGTACGCGATACGATACTCTACGATGTAGCAAATTTTTTTGTATCTCGACGGAACCCTTCTTTATCCTTTGAAGGGCTGAAGTGGACGCAAAGTGGGGCAGGAAAACGAAAAGGCGGGTAGATCGGTAGGTAGGCAGGTAGGTAGAATAAAAAGCGAAACGGAAGAGCCCGTGGTAAGCGAAAAAAGCGTTCGATAAAGAACGAAACAAGTCGCGATCCACCCGCGGAAACTCGTCCTTTTTCGCCAGACGCGAAAGTACTTGAGGGAAATTGAAATAATCGGAAATCTACCGGAAGACTTGCCATTGTTTTCTCGGTCATGAAGGAGAAAGGAGAGAAAGGGGGAGAGGAATGAGCAGCTGACTGACGCGACGGGGCAAATCGGTTTTCTTTCTTTTTTCCTCCTTTTTATTGCTTTCATTTAACTGTCTCGCGTAATTGATATCCGTAAGGCGCGTAATAAAAGAAATTAGTTGCGCCCTTCGACACGTCGGGTTGACTTTTATTTAACCGCGTTGTCGCGCTCGCCCTCTCCCTCGACAATTGACGCGCATGCAAAGCTCTCTTTGCAGGTCGACGAGATTAAATGCGAGAATTGTTCGCGCGTTATTTATACATGTATTGTCGGCGCATTTGTCGGCGCGCGATTCACTGACTAAAACCGTTTTTACTGTCGATATTTAATTCACAGATAATACGCCATAATGTACAATATTGTGACATTTATTAAAAAGCGATAGATATAAGGTGAATAATGAAGACATTACTGAACAACAAATGATTGATTATCGAAGCGTTAAATTCGTCGACCGTCAAAGTTTTTGCAGTTTCCAACTTGTAAAATAACGGTAACGCTAAATTTAATAAATCATTTTCTTGTACGTATCTGTTTTGCTCGAAAATATAAATTTCAATCTTGCATAAAATATTTTAAATACATATATCGAGAATGTATTTATCGTTATGATTTTTGTTTCTGACAATCATTTTATTTTGTTTAAGCTTTTAGAATTTATCTTATACTGATAAATGTATTATTTTGCAAGTTGGAAGCTAATAAAAGACAAAAATCTCCTTTTCCTTGAAGAGAGATTTTTACATATTGTTATATATTTATACTAACGCTTATAGAATAATGTTCCTTGAATTTGGACGCAAGGTATATTGATACGTTAATTTGTGATGCGATACACATTTTACAGATATTAGAATTGATACAAGAATTGAATTAATCCTGAATTATTTTCTAAATTGATAAATTGATTAATTTATAATTACAAATTTGCGTATCAGAAGCCAAATTCTAGCGGTAAAAGACAATATCTAAATTCAAGTGAAAACTTGTTGCGTTTGCACGTTCAAAACTTATTGAGCGGATGATATATCGATATAAAGCGATCACAAAGAAGTTGATACGTAGGCAATTTATTCGAAAAAACTTGTCGAAAAAAATGTTGAAAAATCGAAAAGAACGTGCAATTGCATACAATTTTTAATCGTTTGTTAAATATTGCTCATAATAGTTCGTGTACGATGCAGAATAATTCGCATTTTGAGGCAATTTAAAAATTTCACATAATAAACACATTTAGAACCGCAATACAAATTGCGTCCAATTGTGCAAATGCAATTCTGCATCGAACAACGCATATTTGATTACAGGACTCGCGCGTGGTCCCGTAAAATTGTCAAAGTTTCCCAGATTTCATTCGATTCAGATGTATACCTCCATCGTGATTGCGCCTCTTTCATACAATCGCAATTTGCCTCATTATTATTTTGGTTAATAATTATAATCACGTTCGTATTAAAGTTTAATATTAAACTGTTTCATCTACATAAATATTTCATTGTGAAAAATTATCTCTTATCAAATCGCGAAAATATTTTTACACTTTTTTACTTTAATTGCTCGTTGATAGTACCAAGTTTCGAAAGTTTTCCTTTCGTATATTTCACATATAATGGTTTTTCTTAACGCGATAAAGAAAATACGACCTAGAAATGTGACCACGCGCGACTCTCCCAAGTTGGACGATATTAGATAGAAATCTCTCGCGAATTGGAGAGAAGTTTCGGGTGTTCTAATAAATGCTTCTTCTTACAATTCGACAGGTGAACAACGCAACAGCGAGGGTACAGACGAAAAAGCCGCCGACGGTTCCGAACGGTATGTCGAAACTTTCTTATCACTTTTATCTCTCGCTAACTTTCACTCTCTACGCAGTTTCCTCTCGGGCCGTTTAATACTTGAACGCCCCGAGCACTGCGACAGAGTTCCATTAGAGCTTAAACATCGTACATACAACGCGTTGCGCAGATTTACCGGATTATACGCGTACAATGCAAGGAGATATTACGAAAAAAGCCGGGAACATAATTAAAATGAATTTTGCTCGCGCTTTTAATTATTTTGAAAATATTGCACAACCGAGACATTTTGAGGAGAACTGGACCTTCTTCTCTTTTAACGTAAGATTATATTCGGGGATTATAAATGTATATAATATGCATTGTGCGCGCGCAAAAAAAAATTATGCTCGCGGATATTTGATGCGTGAAATTGAAGTTTCATGAAACGCAGCGGAAACTCGCGATAGAAAAATACGACCGTGCTTTCGAAAGTGGTTCGCGAAATGGTCGATCGCGCGGTGTAGTCCATCGTATGAAATAATAAAAAAAATATAGCCCGTATATCATTTCTATCACATACGATTTATGCTGTACAAACGCCGAGCGCCGAGTATTTTCCCGGGGATTATTTCCGCGGGAAATAATGTACATTTTCTGCGTTCGCGGCTGCTCGTTCCCGACTTTACCAACGTAAAGATGTGAAAGAGTCTTCCCTTATATTGCGAAATATAGACGAAAGAAATCTCGCGCGCGTGGCCTTCTGAATTCCGCGATTTTCCTTTCCGCTTCTCTTTTGCCACGCACCGGAGTGTGAAATTTGTTCGGTAAAGGCGGACAAAAATATATTACGTGTAATTTTATGCGTGTACGTGTATGCGTACACATACGCGCGAATATTCTACTTATTTTCTATTTCAAGAATAGATTTTATTTATAGGCATGTGAATCTGAAATTCAAATTCGAAGAATATCGGAAAAAAATATATGCATACATTTACATATGGAATCTTAAGCATTATTTCCTATGGTGTGGGAAAGGAATAAAGTTCTATATTGTTTTAAGAATCAATATAACGGAATTTGAAAGTTGAAGTTACATTTTTATGGGAGAGCTATAAGTTTTCCTTTGCTTTAATTCTTTAACAAATATGTACGTATAAAATATTTTTATTGTATTAAATTTTACATTGTGCGTACATCTATTACGAACTCGGCGGAGCGTTTTAAACTAAATTTAACCCCGTTCCGGTCATACGGCCCGATTTAAATTGCGGCTTAATCCGGATTACTTGACGGACCACCAGCTGCGAAGAGAACACATTGCAAATATGTGGTATTACGTAACCAAGTGACTGCTCAAATAGGCTCTTCGCTGATTACACTATAAAGTCCTTCAGTCCAGCGAATGTTTTTAGGTCACAATTAATAAGCTTTGCAAAGATCTTTGTTTAACAAATTATCGCATTTAATAATAACGTGTAATTAAAGGATATTATGGCGTAAAAAAATTAGAAAATACATCCAAACGCAAGAGTTTAGTATATCAATAAAATTACAAAGAATAATAAGAATTTTAGGACCTAGTTTGCGGCAATTTTTGTCGTCACGATTCAGCTAAATGCATCGTATTCAAATTTCGAACGGAATCTCCTTCGAGCGAGAAGATTAGCCAAGATTCATGTCGATCTCTGCAGGTCAAAATGGCCAAGCTACTCGCACGCGCGCATGTGGTTATAAATAATCGATACTTGAAACAGTAATAACGATCGAACGTGCGTTGCCAAGTGTTTCCTAACGTGAACACAATTTCTTGTCAGCAGTTTCGAACCCGCAAAGGACGAATAACGGCATCGACGTCTCTAATTATAACCGCATCCATGATTCCAATCAAACTTGCGTGAAAGGCTATGACATTATACAAACTGATCTGCATTCCTATTATGTATTCTTTCAATTTTATTCGTACTATTTCTGACACATTAGCATCGATAATTATCTTATTATTTAAAGTACACAGAAAAAAAACAAGTGTCAAATCAAAACTTATATACTTAAATTAACGCGTTCATTATTTCGTATATACGCAACAATTTGTAATCTTCTTAGAAGAATTTAATAATTTTAAATTTCAATAATGTTATAGTCTTATGTTAATATTATAATTGTCATCTCAAGAATAATTATTTAATTCTACTTTAAGAAAATTATTTTATAATCTTTGATTTAAAAATATTATTTTCTATCTAACATTGTTTTTTTTCTATTCAAGAAAATTAAATCTTAAATCATAAGAACATATTTTTCTCGATTGAACTATATAAAAATGGCTTCATTCGAGTAAGCAATTATTCAAGCAATTATATTTTTCTTTAATTAACGTAATCTCATTTCAAGATTTCCATGTTAAAACTAAATATATTTTCAAAACAAGAATGTCCTTTTTTTCTGTGTATCACTATCAAATTTTTCTCTCTTTTAAATTTCGTAAAATATTTCAAGGACATACACCAAAATATCGTAGTTATTTGTGGAACTCAAACTGCTTTCCGTAATAAACACAATTATCTCTTAATTAAGATTGTAAGAGTATAATCCACTACATATCGGATTATTAGTATATCCGTTCGGTTTGCAGTCGCTTGTGCATTTGCATTCTGTATTCACGGTTTAATCGCAAATCAAACGGGACTTCGCGGCTGGATTGATTCTCGCCAACATCGATAGATGAACGTTCTCTATCGAGTGCTCGGTCTACGCGCGCGAGGTTTAATCTGCACCCACGCACGCGACATGCAATTATCGGAATGCTAAGGCTTGCGCTCTCAACGCGCACCCAGAGAGACGTTAAGATCAATTTGGTCCATTTGGCGCGTATACAGGTACACACTCTGCCCACGACGCCTCTAATAACCAATTCGACAACTGTCGATGGAGTGTCGAATGGCGAGACACCTCTCGCTTCTCTCTCTCTCTCTCTCTCTCTCTCTCTCTCTCTCTCTCTCTCTCCTCCCTCCCCTTCTCTCTCCCTTCTCTTTCTCTCTCTCCTCTCCCTTCTCTCTCTCTCTCCCTCTCTCTCTCTCTCTCTCTCTCTCTCTCTCTCTCTCTCTCTCTCTCTTCGATAGTATCGCAATAGCTGCGAGACGATAGAACGTTAGCGACTGGTGTTTTAGAATTTTTTTTTGTTGAGAATTCAGATCCAATTTTAAATTGACGAAGAAGAAATTTAACGACAAATCTTTTTCATTTTTTACGCAAAGTAATATTGCGGTTGAATTCAAGGAGACTCGAAAAGAATTGCTGTACATAATGGAGACATTAATCGACGTAAAAGGTGCTTTGCACGAATTTTTCTTGCGTCTTAGGTTTCACAAGTGGAAAGCCTTTGCACGAGACGCGAGATAAATGATAAAAACGACATTTAAGTTTTATTCCACGAACTTCAACCGCGCGCTTTCAGATGCTAATAATACCGAAAGGGAAATGTATGCACGCTTAGATTCGGAGTCGATATGGATGAATTAAGTGCGTGTGCGATTAGATTTCTCATTATGCCATTTTTTCTATAAGAAGAGAGAATTGATACATGCAAATGGCCTTTATTCGTCTATATAGCCTATAATTCGATATATCAAGTACACATATAATTTAATGTAATTTACACGTTGTATAATTCACATCTTTTTAATTTTCTGTTTATGACCAACGTTAGAAAATAATTGACACGTTACGATATTATTACATATATAGGACCAGTAAAATATATGCATTACAATCCTATTGCAAAAGTGGGACATGTCTAATTATAGGGGAATTTGTTCGGCGGCAAATATAGTTGTAATTCGCCTTATTATAGAGCTATTAATCTTTACTCGGAAACCATGTATCTTTGAGAATAAGTCATTATTTCTGTCTTGCTCGAATGTAGAAAGGCAGTCGAGTATTTAAGCACTGATTAATGACTCTAATAAAATCAGGACGATTCGAATTCTCGAAATAAAATGCACATAGTCGCGCCGAGTCATCTACGAAGATATTTTTATCTCTTTACAATACGCAAAGTAATAGTTTGAATGGTATTGCGCTCTCTCTGGAATTTCTCGTTATCGAATCTGTGCAATATACCGAGGGTGTTGCCTCCGTCCGCAAATTTATTTCGTTCCGACCATGTGGGCTCTTTCTTTCTCCTTTACTTCCATGTAAGTGCTCTATCTGTATAAATAACGTTGAAAGGAAACCGAACCAGAAAGAGCTACGCGGCGCGCAACCCCCTCCCCCCGCTTCGTTTTTCACCGCTAGTATATGTTTTTCCACCCTTGTACATACATGTCCCGGATCGACAGGATTTACAGAGCCGAGTCATAAAAATTGCACACTCGCCCTCGCCCGTTCTACTTTCTCTTAAGCGGCGATGCACGCTCTCTGAAGTCTTAACCGATACGTAAAAAATTCACGCGCTCGACAATTTTAACGGCTCTGCCTGAACACATCTCTTACGTGGCTAAAATAATTTTTCCAAAAATTTAAGTAAATTCAATTTCAAAAAAGAAAAATTAATTCGAGGTCTCTATTGCAATTTTTAATTTAAAAATCTTTATTTAAAAATCATCTTCGATAAAATATTTTTTTTATGTATAAATTCTAGCATATTGTATATTTATGATTGTGTGGTACACCGCGTTTTGAGAATATTTTTTGCCGCGTCAAAAATTAACATATTTATTTATTTATTATACCGCGAAAATATATAACGGGGGCGGCTGAATTTTACGATTCTGTTTTTTACATCTGAAACGCAGGCTGTCGCGAACCTTTGCCCCGATTACACCTGACGTTTTTCGTGCTTTATCTTCTCTTCTGTCGCTTAGCAAGCGGGGTCGTTTCTTCGCGGGACCGGTCGCGTTTTACGGATACGCTTCCGCTCGCCGTCTTCTTCATTCGCTGATTCCGTGAGAAATACGGGTACGTGTGCTACGTGATGCTCATAATTTACGTAGTCTTGCTGCGCTCATTAATTGTCGCGTAAATAACGCCCCGTAGCACGATATGCATATATTTCCTCCGCGTCTCACCCCTTCGCCTTCCCCCTCTCGTTTCTCTCACGAGTTGTTGCACGAGTTCTCTATTTATTTTTTTTTTCGAAGCGAGCTACATTCTTATGCCTCCAAGAAAAAGCGCACTGCGACGATTGCAACGCATATCGAGATATCGCACGTAATATCTTACTTTCGCGAAGAGAAAAATTGCTCTCGCTAACTCTGCTCTTTGCCAACTTTATTCGCTCTTGCGAAATTGTCCGTCTTGAAATGAAAGCAACTCTCTACCCTTCTTTGCAGTTTTCATTGTTATCGCTGATGAGCACTTGATATAACATCGCGTTATTTTTAATATTCTCTTTTACATATTTTTTTATCAGTCTCTTTTTTTCAATAAGATACACGCGGGGCTGGAAGAGATTTTTATTCTGGGCGAAAATTTGCGGGGATTTCTTTCCTCGCTGGATATAATAACCTCGTTCATTATTTCTCATTGACTTACTGCGCGTTTTAGACTCCAAGGGCACTTTCAACGAGAAAAAAATCAATCTCGCATTTATTTTTGTGACTGGGTCACGCGCTCTTTTCCGAACTTTTCGCGAGAACTTCCTCGCAGCGTTGCAAAGTCGGCCGATGTCGATGCAGGAGGAATGGAATGATAACGCGAGAAAATAAGAACGATAAAGTTTTGCCATCTCGAGCTTCGTTTTATTAAAAAATTTTATTTTTCTTCCTATCGCGCGGGAGATCTCTCGGTAGCCATCGTCGTGCTGGCAGTTAATACCGGAAGCGGGGTTTAATGGAATTACAGCGTGTTTTATATGCGCCCCAGCATTTTCGCGCGAGAAATTCGCGGGACAACGAAAAGCGCACAAAAGGGAGAGGAAGGGGAGGCGAGAACGAAATTTCACGCGCCACCGCGCGACGTGTTTGCGTAATATTTGCATGATATATTTACGATGCGCGCGCTCGTCGCGAGATCCGATAAGTTTTATGCAAATCGGACATTATTGTCGGTTGTGCTCGATAAATAAATCGGACGAGAAGGAGTCTTATAAGGAGGGTTTTAGAAAAATGGAACCAGGCCACGTTTATTTTCGCGGATTTCGCGTTCCGTCTAAAGATATGCTGACCGGTATATCGAAATATCGCGCGAAAATCGGGGCGAAGATAAGACGAAAATATGTAGGAGATTATTTCTTCGTCGACGAGCATTTCGCGCAAAAGCGCGATTACAATTTTGCCCGAAGTAACTTAATTATGTATATTTCCGCAAATGAGTAAGCGTTCGACGGTGCTAAGCATACAAATGTGGGTATAAATTTGGCGCAAGAAATTCCTGCATAAAACACCGGCCAAGTAATAATGCATATCGAGTAATTCATAAAATTATAATGATCGAGAAAGAAACAATTCTCCGACATTTGTGTTATTCTTACACGTATTCCACATCCGTGAACCTTGCGGAGAACAAAACCAAGGGAGAATTTAACGGGAAAACCCAGAGGATCGGAATTTCCGCCGGTGAAGTTACACGTAATAATAAGATTTGTATTCTTAAAAAAACAACGTAGTTAGTCCATCGACCATTTCTCTTCGTTCTATAGATACCGATTACTTTCTCTTCTATTTGAACGATAGAAATATGTTACATCGATTGCACACAATAATGTTTTCAAGAAAATATTAAGTTTAAACTTGTTATTGGATTAATCGCGTTTTCTCGCGGATCATTTATTTATTTTCGAAATTGTGCGAACTGAAGATACGTATTGTAATTTTTAAATCTACTGAGAACATTATTATGATTGTAAACGCGATTGAATAAACAGAAAAATTTATTTGTTTCCGAATTATATAGTAAATAAATATATATATATATAAGATTTTATATTTTGATTAAATACATTTTATTACACGGTATACACGTTAAATTTAATGTCAAAAATAAGTTAATTCATGAAATTTTAATTAAAAACAGCGTGTTTTTAATTAAAAATAGACAACGCGCGCTTGTATTTACAATGCTCGCGATTGTAATCTAAACGAGAAAGCTTCGTAAAATATAGCTTAGGTATGAATATTTACACAAATATTTTTGTCGCTCTGCGGAATCTAAATTTGTACGCAAATTGAGATTTTTCGACGATTTCTCTTCATCGAGGGAGACGATCTCGATATCGTTACATCCTCCCAGTTATCCAATCCTGCTAAAGAGAAACTCGTTATTAAGAGCCCCGCCATCCGATCGTCCGTTTCCGTTTCAATCGTCATTTATATCACGCTGGCTTCGCGAATCTGGCGAAAATCGGGGTTAATACCGACCATTAGACGTGGACGTCCGCGAGGGGACAACAGGGGACGTCGCATCCGGCGCATCATATCGCTTATGGGTCATCCTCGGCGCGATACCGAGCTGTGCTTGGTCGTTGGGACGTGATAGGAACGATGGGCAAGCGACAGGGGGAGGGGGGGCCGAGGACGAAGGGCGAGTAATTCGCCACCTTCCGTTTCATTACGGCTGCTTTGCCGGAGAAACAGCCGCACGGCACGCAATCGCGCGATCAATCCTGCCGGTATTCGTCAGAGCCACGGACGAACTTGGCAAAATCGCATCCCATTACGCGCACGTAGATCATGCGTCATTAAAGCATCGCCGCGCTTAAACACGTTCGGTGGACCGAGGGATTCTGGCCGGTATCCTGGAAATAAAGAGGACAGCAAAAGAAAATTGCGCGCGAAATTACATGTTCGATTTCTCTCGTATATGCGTATATTATATTATGCCGCTCGTATATTTGCTCGAATGTTTTTATATTCATATTAATATTACGTAATCCGCATTTATGGAAAACATTGTTTTCTCTGTTTATTCAAATAATAATGAGTGTATCGATGATTCTCGATACACTCGCGCGGATTGATAATATTGATCCGCTTTACAATTAATTATTTGAAGATATTAAATTACTAATTAATTAGAACAGATTTAATGAAAGTACTTTATAATTGATGCGAGCGAATGTTAATAAAAGTTTGTAAATTTTCGCGTAAATTTTCTCATCTCTCGTCTAAGATTGGCGAAAGTGTCGCCGACATTTATATGAAGAGAAAAGTTTGTGACTCGTACAAACGTATATTTCTGAATTCTTGAAATGTGATTTGATTTTAAAGCACATCTTTATGCGCATAATCTTGTAAAAAAGTGCGCCATAAATCACGTCCTAAGTATCAAACTTTGCTCGTCTTATTCATCTCCCGGCGGTAACAAAATGGAAGAGTATCGAAAGCACGTATCAAAAGAAAATTGCAATCTCTGGATTTTATACAAGACGATAGAAAATGCGCTGTCGATATTTTGCATCCGTCCAAAGTCAAAATCTCCTTGTTACATAATTCCCGCGGCCCAATTAGGGAGAGATTAATCATTTCTTCGAACGTAAAATCTACTTTTCATCCGCATTATATATCCTTCATTTGTCTTGTGAAAGAATTGACTGGTTTTAAACATGCTTTGTGAGAGAATTGATTGATTTTAAATATATCGCTCAAACAACAACGATCGCTATAATAACAATATATTTACGGTATTATTCGATATAATCAATATTTCGGATAAGAAATATTTTATAATACTTACACAAATACAAATATTATATATAATATAAGAAATTATTGATACTTTAATTTATAAATTTAACATTAAATTATTGTTCACGATATTAATATTTCTGTTAATGATTGGATGCATTTGAAAATGTATCGATTTTTTGTGTTAAAATTTATAAATTTTTTTACATCTTTTTTACATATTTATATGTGTAAGCATTGTATGTGGGAGTATAATTATCTCAGTTTAATATGCGGATAATTACCAGAAGCGGAGAAATCTTTTTTTCCAAGAAAGAATTTCACAACAAAGTTTTAGCTCGCGATAAGAATGAGTTTGTGGTATATACCTCTTTGGAAAATTTCTTTGAGCCTTAAAAACTTATAAGTAGCAATCAGTCAACCGTCTAGCGATTATTACTGCAACTTTTGTTGTTATAGGTAATAAAAACAAGCATTTTAATTATACAACTGTGCGATAACTGTTTATTAAATTGTTTGATTTAATTTAAATTGATATTAATATTTTTACAGTCTTCACGTGCTATATTATCAATATTGAATTATAGAATTTTCTCTGAAAAATATAAATAAAATTCACAATTTATATACATTTACGACACGTACATACACGTACATCATATGTGACATAAAATATAATCGATAAAATATATCGAGCGCGCTATTTCTCTTTATGATGAAGTATGGTCTCTATAATTGCGTTCCTAACTATTAACGGTGACACGGTATATTTTCGGTTTAATTCAAATAACCGTATGTCCGATACATGTGTATATATATACGCTCCGTTAACGTGTTATGCCAGATAATTGCGAACGTCGCTAAATATCCTATTAATTATCTTCGTCAGTCGTGCGGCGAAAATGCGGTGATTTGATTGCTGGGAGCTTCTCACGCCGGTAATTAAACGAAGAACTCCTCGCTAGTTGCAAAATAAAATGTCGCGCGCATGTTTTTGTTATCATTAAGATAAAATACGAAATACAATGTAACGTATGTTTTTTTTTCGTTTGTTGCAGTGTGCGTACAATGGCCCGAGGGTAGGTGCTTCCATGACGTGCCGGAGCCGGCATTGCTGAATCTCTACTTCGAGTTCCGTGAAAACTGTCACGGCTTCTCCTGAAGGCAACGACCGATCAGGCGACGACAATGAGACACGCCACATGAGACACCTCGCGCTCCTCGTCGAGCGTGCGGATCATCAGTACACTTGACTATCGCGAGAAAAACACTTTCGAGAGATAACGTATTTATTTAAAAGTCTTTCCAACAGCCGCCACACACCACGACCAAGCCAAAACGAATAGCCACGTATAGCCACACAAAGATGGGACCAAGGTCCCCTGTTTTTTCGTTTACATTGATACATTCTATCTCGCGCGAATTTTAGAGACGCGTCGAATGGACCGAGTCAACGGAAGAAAAATGATTCCTCACGCAAAAGTAACAGTGTGAAGATAAATCTTGCGTATTTGCTTCTATACAAAATTAATTGAATTTTTGACAAAATTAATTCCGTACATAAATCACGTATGATAGCTTGATAGATGATACAGTAATCTTTTCTTTTCTTCTTTTCTTGTAGAGACCTCAATTGATCAAATTTTTTTCTGAGATAAATTAATAACGAGAGATAAATTATATCAATTAATGACAATTATGTCATGTAAGAGAGAAATATTCGTACGATTTTTTTTTTTCGAAAATTCTATATAAATGAAAAAATTATTGAGCCTCTCCCGCCGTCTCGATTCATTCGAATCGCGTCTCCGCGTCTCCGCGTTAAAGCGACACGAAGCAAAGCGTGGTGCTCGTGTATCGTTTCTGGTCATCGTGATGGATCTCGGATGATACAGGTTTAACACTGACTCTAAATGAGTGCTCGGCAGAATTCTCGCTGAGCACGTGAAAACGGGATCTTTCGCGTTCCTTCTTTATAGGGTTCTCGATGATCCCAGCAGAAGCAAGGTGGGTGATCCAGAATATTTATTTACCTACAACTAATTGCTCGTCGTTCAGCCAGCTCGGGATTAAAGACTGTCTCTCCTGTTACGTACACATTTTTATATAACTTTTTTTTTTATTGTACTTGTCTTTCTTTATCACATCTGGGAGAGAAATACCATGCTCAGTCCTTCCTAAGTTTCTCTCGCACAACCAATTATTTTTGTTGTTCCTGTCGAGCCGAAGTGAAATCGTTCCCCTTGTCTTATCATCGTCTTGTGGTAAGAAAGCTACGAGGGGTAAAATAGTAGCTTTTGCACTCACGCGGAGAAAAGTGCGTTCAACAAAACGGTTGGACCGAAATAAGTTATGAGAGTGGGAAAAGGCACGTTTTATAAAAAGAATAAACAGCAGAGTAAAATATCATTGTCATTTTGTAGAAAAATATTTTGATACGATTATATTTATCATAAAATTCGGGATTATTGAAAAATACGTATACAATTTTATATATTAAATTATTTACATATATGATCGAATTGCATTGAATTACGTTTTGTGCCACGCGTTGTTCTCCACGTGAAACAACGTTTAGAGCAGAAGCACTTAATTAAATCTTGAAATCGGCCATGAAGCGCGTGAATTTTAGATTAACGATGCGATAATTTAGGAATTGATAATTAGAATCCAGAGGAAAACTGATTGCGAAGAGCGTTGCGTTGTTTTGAAATTATAATTCAAATAATAATTTAATTCGCGAGTTATATAATACTTTTAATAGCGTCATAATATTTCTATTCCATTCATTTCTACACTTTCAAGAGTAAAAATCGAGTAAATAGTTTTATTTGGCTTCAGAAACACTTTTATATTTTTTTTTTATAACAAAATTTAGCGAAACACTGCTTTTTCAACATGGAATATGCACTTCTCGTTTTGAAAAATATATTTTTATCGATCCGAATATACGCGGGAACTCTTATTTAAAAATATACTACTATTTTTAGTCTATTAAAATGATAGCAACGTAACATATCGCAAAATGTTTTTTCTCTTTTTTTTTTATAAATATTAGTTTGATAGTTCGCTATATTTTTTTCAATATAGATATTACGTATACAAACGTAAAGTCTAATGACAAGTAAATCATTCGATAATATCGTAATAATTTATAAATTTAGATTTAACGAAACGAACGATTACAGGGTATAAAGTATTAATAGATAATTAATATAAGCTTTTTTATACATCTGCAAATTTTTGATCGAGTTTGCGAGAGAGCAAATACCGATTTATCGACATCATTTATCTCGTTCATTTATAAATTTCGCAAAGTTTGATATGATATTCGTAAATATCGACTATTTTATTGTCGATTATTAACGCGGGTAATAAGAGGATATAGATAAGTTAAACATGCCAAAATAAATACAGGGTATTGATTTAGTGATCATGTGAGCGTTATGTTAGAGATATATATTTCGTATATAATTAGCGTACGCGTAGAGACACTATTTACTTAAGACAAAGGAGACACGGCTGCACTTTAAATGCCGTTTAGTAGACTTAAATTTACACGGTTCTGCAAGTGTAACGCATCAATTATCCTTCTTTCCACTATCTATTTTTATACTCACGTGATTTTTATATATTCTGCGAAACCGTCTTTTTGCCGTGCTTGGCGTTAAAAACGTATACTTGCAGGATCCACGTAGGAGGACGTAGAATAGTATTACGCAACCGCATGACTGTACTCTATTGCAGGGTTAAACCGACATTCCAAAGATCGTTGACATCGATTATTCGCCAAACGAGTAAACTGGGGTAATTCGCTATAAAATAGCCATAGTAGATATGTGGAATGGCGTGATTTATTTCGCTTCTGTTGAGCCATTGATCAATGGTGTGCCATAATGCCCCACTTTACAAACGTAGAAAGTAGATTTTTACTTCAGACAGATTGATAGATTAAGACACACGACACATTAGTGCGTAGCGATTAGCCTGTATAGTTAATTGTCAAGTGAAAATATTTGTGTTTGGGCGATTAAACGTTTTATGAAAATCGCGTAGAAACGCATAGAAGTATATATTTGTGGAAGCAAGAAATATATATTAGAATTTATAAAAGTAAGACGAGAATAGAGACGGACGACAGAAAAACGGACAGATTAATTAAATAGTATTAATATGAAACGAGGACAAAAAACAAAAACTTGACGAGTACGTATTAAGTAGAAAGAAAATCGTCTGTTTTTCGCAAAACAAATATGACGGGTAAATTTTATACACGAATATATATATATAAATATAAATGTAATTTTTCCTATATATTAATGAAATCGATAGTAGTTTCAATTTTGCATCAAGCTCTCGATGATACTCTCTTGTAGAAAATTATAAGATCTCTTTAAAAATATTATAAAATATTTTTTTATAAATTTTAATTTACAAATTTTAATAGACAAAAATATGACAAAGTATTTGCATTTTTTACATCAATTTAATATGTAGTATTTTATGAATACTGTTTTATTTTTCAAATAATTGAAATTAGTTTGAGATCGAACACGTGCACATATATATTTCGATCATTCATTTTTCGATATTAATGCCTCGAGAGAAATTGTATCATCGAGGTTTGAAGCGAAACGAATAGCAACAAAGCAAATCGTTAATCGATACAGGAGCAACTTGCTCTTGTTACTGTTCGCCGAAACAAATCTGCGCGACGCACAAGCGGACCGATTTGTCACATCTCAGTCAATAAAGAGGAATCTTTACTTTCCGTACATCGTCGACGAATTAATCGAAAACCGATTCTCACGATTGCACGATCATGCATGTGTCTGTCATTCGTCGGAGAAAATTAGAGAATAAGCAGATACGAATTATTTCAGAGATTTTATTTAATGTTTAATATATATTCATAATATATATATAAAATTATAAAGGAAATAGTTACTTCGTTTGTTTCAAACAGAAAAGACTTGTCAAATAATGTTTATTTAATTAATTTTTATTTAATTAGATTATCTAATATTGCGTAGATAAATAGAGTCTCAAGAATAATTTGAAGAATACATGAAAAAAACGTGGACGCGATTTGACAATTTTATCTGCCTTTCTCTCTAGTTCTCTCCTCTTTAACTACGCGATCATTCCGTCGACGTGTTCATTCCGCGCACTTTCCGATCTTCTCGCAAAAGCATCTCGCCTCTGAACTTTCCGTTGCGAATAGTCGGGATATTTCCGTCGACGCGCTCTGTTCTCCATTTATTCATCGAAACGTCGTCGTTCGGTACTCCCCACGAATCCGCTCTCGAAATCATGCTCGCGGAAATATTGAAATCGTCCTTTACCTCGTCCTTTCTCGAGCAGTCCACGCGTCGGCCATGTTAAGAGGGGGATTTCTCGTTTTTATTTTCCTCGAAATTCGCTCGAGTGCGCACAATTGCGGACGTCAATTTAGCAATGGGATAACGAAAAAAAAAAAGCACACGGGAAAGAGAGAAGGAATCCGAAGAAAAGCCGGAAGCCGAGGTATCCTTCCTCCCTTCCTAGATCGCCTCCGTTCCTCCGTCTCTTTATCTATCCCAATCTCGCACTTCTCGCGATGATATTACTACTCTGCCCCGCAGTTCCCGGAACATTCCGCGTCCTCTAACAATTTTCATTCCATTTCATACCGCTTTTCCTACATCCTCCTGTCTTTTTCCTCCCTGTTGCAGCCAACCGGTCCGGTTCTTTCCTCCAATTTTACGCCGTGTCAGAATTCTTTTACTTGACTCGCGCTGTCGCAGTCGGAAACGTGCGAAGAAAATTGATATTGCCGCCGGGAAAAAGTTTGCTTCTCTCGATGTAGTGGATTTTATTGCCTCCGCGATGTTTATTACGCGTGAGTTTCGCGGAAATCGAGTAAATTTTGACCGCTCTTAACGAATCTAACGGGCAACAACATTCTCGAAACTGCGCGAATTGTGACAATCGTAAAATACGAATGGATATAAAGTCTCAAATTTTATTTCGTATTATTTTCACGATAAATTTTCCACGGAATGTCTAGACCCGGCAAACATTAAGAGTTTATCTTCCC